ACACATACAAATATAAATATACACACATACATGTATAAATGTAAGAAATATTTACATATAGGTCTATATATATACATATATTCATATTTATATATGATTTACCTATATAGAAGTAAAATATAAAGATGTCTTCCATATAATTATAATGCAGAGAGGTTGTAAATATATGACATCTATTTCTTAAATATATACATGTATGTGTGTGCATTTATACATATATACACAGTACACTCACATATTAGGTAAACACAAACTTTTATTTTGGATGCGATAAATCGATTTGTTATCCCTGTCAGTTCTGATCTGTCGTGTCATCATAAAGGCAAAAATGCCACAAAAAAAAAAGGAAAATACGGGGTTATGTCTTTTGACACTTTTGTTTGAGAAATAAAAATGCACTGCATACGTTAGGGTTAAAAAAAATTATTGCTTAAAATACAACATGCCAGAAGCATGTTAGTCACTGCAATAATGATGATCCAGTTCTAGATTTTTCTTCTTTAAATCTATATATGATGTCTTGGTTTCACTGTTCTATTCTGTCGGGATTACATAATATTCTCGTGAGTTTGAAATAATTAGCATATAGCATGTGTTAATCTCTCTACATTATATCCCGCATTCAAGCATATATGTAAATAAGTTCAGACCGCTCATTTGCGTACCGACAAGGTTGACAGCAGTTAAAGGGGTCATATGATGCGATTTCAATTTTTCCTTTCTCTTTGGAGAGTTACAAGCTCTTGGTGCATAAAGAAAATCTGTAAAGTTACAAAGACTAAAGTCTCAAATCCAAAGAGATATTCTTTATAAAAGTTAAGAGTCAACCACGCCTACCTAAAACGTCTCGTTCTAACACGCCCCCACCCTACGTCACAATATGGGAAAATTTGCATAATGCCGCCCAAATATGCACGCACAATATATACTACTACTAATGGGTTTTATAATACTGTGCATATTTATAGATTTTAAGATAATGGCTACAGGAGCATATGTGAGTGAATGAGATAAAAGGTCAATGATGCGAGCAGTGCGAGTGGTCTGGCTTCTCAAATATGTATCAGCGGATCAGATACATATGAGATGGGAGTTGCTAACCGATGATTTCCCCAGCACATTGCAAAAAGCGCTAAACTAAGCAAACTTCGCAATTAAACTAGACAAGCACCTCTATGACCCACCACAAATGTTCTTGTCCTGAAAAAGGTTGAGGACCCCTGGTTTAGAGCAGAATGAAGATGAAATGTGTTCTACAGCCTGCAGAATAGTGGATGGGGGAAAAAGCGCCATTGTGAACATTTATTTCAAACAGAGAACAAATAACCATTGTACTGATCTGCTCGAACCCACAAAAGACACACCTTTGAGACACTGGCTCTGTCCAACTGTTTAGGAAAAGCATAGGCCTCACTCCAGCTTTCCTGTCCGATGGCTGTTAGCCATCAGCTAAACATGGCAGGAAGCCGCTCAGCTAGCAGGTGTTTAATACACCGCCTCACAAACGAGTCATTTGAAATGGCTAGACATCACAACACGAGGATCTGTAAAACAGATGCTTATGGGGCTGAGGGCTTGCGTTTGTCATTTAATGTGAGGCCTGACCTTTCAGCTTGAATCCTGGAGGACGGATGGGATGGTTTCAAAGAAACCAAAGAAAAAAAACAACTCTCCTTTATAGCACAAGGTTTCGGTAACCTCTCTGCATTAGAAAGGCATTACTGTGCCACGGGATAAATCTGCACTCCACAGACGTGTGGTCATCGCGAAACAGAGTAGCAAAAACACCAAGCACTTTAATTAAAGCAGAGCAGAAAGCTTCAACAACAAGCTGAAACTGAAGGTGGCTCTGTGGGACGTCCCATGACTGTTATTAACTCCAAGAGAAGTGGAGCAGAGGATGGGGGAAAGCTGCCTGTTGACAGCTTTAAAACACGCAGTTCTCACTTCCTACATCAAGTTGCCATCGGTCCCCTCTGCAGAACTTGCTTAATAAAGTATTTTTATTCATGGTTAAAAATAAGAATGATCACGCAATTGTACAGCAGTTTGAGTAGGGAATGAGTGATGCCTTCACTGACACCTCCTTGAGTCAATCCATCTGTCGGCCGTGTCTGTCTTTAGGCCCTTTTGAGCCTCGGTGGATTTATACACTTCTATTCAAAAGTTTGAGGTTGGTAGGATTTCTCAATGTTTTTCTCAAAGTCTTAACAATCCTGCATTTATTTAATCAAAAATGCAGCAAAAATGTAATATTGTGAAATTATTTTATCATGTAAAATAACTTATTTTTGAATATATTTTCTTACCACAAATTTGCAAAGCTGAATTTTCAGCATCATTACTCTTAGTCTTGGAGAATGTCTGCTCAAGAAACATTCATTATTATTATTATTAATGTTGAAAACAATTATGCTGCTTAATATTTTTGTGGAAAACATGATTAATCTAGATTCCTTGATGAATAAGAGAGATAAAAAAACTCAATTTATTTAATCAAAAACGCAGCAAAAATTTAATATTGCGAAATTATTTAATTAAAATAGAAATCTTTTGTGACATTATAAATGACACTATAATTTATTATTATATTATAAATTATTATTTAATCAATACAAGTATTAATTATAACTATTGCAATCATAAATTATAAAAAAAATTACTGTACTTTTGATTGCATTAATGCATCCTTGCTGAAGGAAAATATTCATCTTCTTGACCCCAAACTTTTGAACGTTAACGTTTAATTACTTGAAGATTAAAGTCACACTAGTCTTAATAAATCTAGAATATAGAGTTATATTAAAGTTTTTGGGAAAATTAAATAAATGCTCTACAGCAACTTTTTTTTTAAACATAAATCAACATGCAACAAATATTAACAAACCAAAAATGTAAAACTGTACAGTCGACTCCACTTTCCTGCAACACTGTACGCCTCAAGAGGTCAATCTTCCTCCAACTATGAATGTAGAGAAATGCAAAAATTCTTTAAATGAGCCCGTTTCTCTGGTCTATGGAGTCAAAGATCTAGTGAAAGGTTCCCCTCAAGCCAAATATCATGGTGCAAATCCTGTTCTAGTCATGAAAAAAAAAATTGTAGTAGTCTATAAAGTAGACAAGATTTCAGCCAATAAGTCTGCACAAACAAAACTTTAAGAAATGTCCCACTTTTCAATTCATGCAATTATCTATTTTAAATTTATAGACGTTGTCCAGATTTATGGCATCTACTAAGTTGAAAACACTTCTTTCCACATCGAAGATGAGAGATGTGTTGGACGTCTCTAAAATCTCCCAGCTTCTGATTAAAGAGAGGCAGACAAATTAATGCATTTTCAGTTTTTGCTCGGCAGGGATGAACGGTCTGTGCACTAATACCGCTAAAACATGTCTGATCCATTCTCCATAGTCAAATTAGTCAGAGTAATTGCAGAAATGCCAAACAGTTGGTTCAGCTTTGAGATCTAATCCAAATACTGGCTATGTGAATCTGGACTGAATTCAAGTAGCTACCAAAGACTGATTACACTGCGATCTGGTCCTATCATTGGGGTGGACACACACCTTTCAATGAGGGTCCCAAATAGCAGTCTGATGGTCCTCTGGATGTTCTCTGTGCAGAGCCAGCTCCACTGATCCTTCATTAGCACACACAGGATATTCAGGGCCTGGTCAGATAGAGCCATTTCACTAGCTATACACAAACACACAAGTACACACAATATAAAGCCATCACAGCTGGAAAAGAGACACTGGTCAGAATATTTGAAAATGTGTTTGTAAAATGATTCCCAGAATGACTGAATAGGAGCACAGCATGTTCCATGTCCACAAGTACAACTAAAATACAAAATATGAACACACACAGATCCAATCACTGACATGTTTTTATAATATGGAACATGGAATGACTTTATTTTTTCCTGCACAGAACTATGAGAGCTGGTTTTCATCAATGCAAGGGATACTTGACAACATTATGAAAATACAATGCTGCCCTCTAGAGTTAACTTACATAATATCACAGACCTAGCCAACACTCTTACTGGCATCTAGGGTTCCATGAAGACTTCACAAGTAATATTCATAACTCAAAACTTTCAAAACCATTTTATGGAGTTTTTCTATACTTAAAAGTTTTTGGGTTTTTTTCTCAGAAAGACGTTTCATCAGCTGAACAATCGAATGTTGTTGTTGTTAAACAGTACAATCTACTGAACACATTGCACTTCTATACCTCACAGCCTTATTTTTATTCCTGTCAAAAAATTAATTATCACTCTACCCTGGTCCATATGACCTTACTACATTTTAGGAGTGTAACAGTACACGTTTTTGTACTGAAAATTTTCGGTACAGGTCTTTTGGTTTGGTCCACATGCACCGAAATACAGCATTGTATTTATATAGCATCTTTCAAATTATGTCTATTTGTTATTTAGGAAATTCAAACAATAAATTTGACGCTCTAATGTGGTGTGACAGATCGCTGTATAAACGCCTCAGTTCAAACGCAATCGCAGAGCACGAGTGAGGGTGATCATCTCTTCCTCTTTACTACTAGCTAGTTTTAATGCAAAATAAACATGAATGAACATCTCATGCCTCATGTAATCGCTCAATCACTGTTTCAACCGCAGAAAAGCGTCAAAACAGAATGTCACAAACAAAATATTTAATTTACGTTAGGCAAGGCATTAGTGTCCACTAAGGCTGTCAAAATGGCAGAAAAACTAAATTCGAATTTTGCAATTCAATATGATCAAAATTTTAATTATATTCAAATTTAAAATGCATAATTTCAGTTATGGTGAAGAATAGCTTTTGGCTTCTCTTCTGAGGCCACAAGAGGGTGCATCGAGCAAAATATTACTAATGCACCTTTATTCAAAGCATAAGATAACAACTATCTGTGAAAAAAAGTGCACAATGTTTAAAATAATGTTTTTAAACCAATTAAAATTAATTAAGTTGCTTAAACAACTATAAACAAAACAGCATCATGTATGTATGCATAGTTTAATGGGCGGAAAGCCAATCACAAAGATACATTTTTCATTTAAAAACATGAGATGCAGTGGGATGGGGGAAAAACCCCGCCATAAAGTCTCGATATATGTTTTTTTCAAAGTTAAACTTGCATTAATTTTACATGGCTTTCTAAACATGCGGCTCCTTTGTGCGAGATGCGAGTGCAACGGTGATAGATGTCCCTCTAGAAAATGCACAAAATATGTGTTCTGTGTGAACGGCTTTTTATTCAGTTTTGATGTAAACAAGATCTTCTCCGCAATGATGTTCTCTTTTTCCGCAATATTTTGAAAGAACAACGCAGCAGCGCCAGTGGCTTTAACTGGATAGGCTAACAAAAACATTATGATGCAATGACACTTAAATCGTAAGTTTACTTGCATGCAATTTTCATCGCATCTCGTGCACCACTGTAAAGGCCCGTTCACACCAAGCACGATAACTATAAAGATAACGATATTAGCGTCCACACCAGCGAACGATACCGTCTGTTTATTCTAAGCGCACGCTAGTCTGCCGCTTTAAATTCTCGAGCTTGTTACAGCAGGATTGATTCTGATTGGCTGTCAATTTTTTAGCGTTCATCAGCTGGAGAAAAATCATTTTGAAAGTGATTTCAACGATATCGTTTCTCTTTGTCTTTATTGTTATAGTTGTGGTGTTGAGTGGAGTCTGCTATTCTTTAATATTGAGAACGATTTTTAGAACTATATCTTTATCGTTATCTTTATAGTTATCATGCTTGGTGTGAACGGGCCTTAAGGCTGCCTCCTAAAATTCGAATGCAACGTTTTTGCATTCAAATGTGGATTTTTATTTTAAATTCGACGAATATTCGAAATTTAAAAAAAAATTGGCAGCCCTAGTGTCCACAGCTCGTTTAAACTGAGTCAAAACTGAGGTACGTACCGAACCATCATGTTTGTGTACCGTAACACCCCTACTATATTAAAAGTCCTTGTCTGAGAAACCTTCCCCTTGAGTGAGCTGATAATTACGTCATTGAGTTGAACTCAAGAACTAATATAATAAATATTATTTCTCTTATACAAGAGTCGTTACCAGAGTCACTGAAGGCGGGTGCATTCTGTAGCTGTGCTTTGGCACATACGCATGTTTTCATATCCCATTTAGGTGCTCCACTTCTCTCTGCATCACCATCAAACCATGCTTTAGCCTCAAAACGCTCCTTCTCTGAGATGAAGCTCTCCAGCTCATTCAACGAGAAGCCATTGAAAACCTGTAAAAACAACATCAAATCAAAGTATATTACCTGTGTTGCTGATGAGCAGAACAACTTGCAGGGTCACAATAACTACTGCAGAGTGGAAATTAGCAAAAGCAATTTTCTATTTCTCATTCACTTCCATCTTATGGTTCATTGAAAAAGACTCAATTACTGATGACTGCTACTTACAGAGCTGCTTTCATCAAAGCAGTAAAGCACTTTGGGTTTCATGTCAGACACGTTGAGAGCAGGGGCAGTTTTACTAGAGAATCTCATTCGAGACCTAGAAATGAAACATGTATTAGTCATACAGGAAATTATTGATAGCTATAAACATTCCAAAAAACAAGCAGTTCTCCTCCTATACTTGGATTTCTTGTCAGTGGACAATTTCCCATCAGGCTCTGCGTCAATTTCATCAGTAGGACTCTGTGGTTCTGAGCGAGGGAAGGCCGTCTTCAGGGTGTCCACTATAGCATTCACCACAATCTGCCAAGTCATAACAATTTTTTATGTAAAGTGTTTCAGTCAAAACATACAATGTGCATTCTGAAAAGTACCTTGTCTATGCGTGAAACAATGAAGGGTTTCTTCACAAAGGCAATTCTTGCATCAGTGTTTAGAGCGAGAAATTCTTGCATTTCCTCACTGTTGGCCGTTTCAGGAATGGCACAAAGTTGCTGTAATAAAAGAAAACATGAATAAACATTTAAAAGAAGTTGTGTGGAATGGAATACTAACAGTAAATATAGTCCGGTTTATGTAATTTATATATTCAAAGAACGTACTCTAAGGAATGTTTCCAATAGACCTTTCCTGGCCTCGACTTTGTCACTGTCCATGTTTCCAAATGGAAGCTCAGGAAATATTTTCTTTGGTCCTTTCACATCTACAGTTAACAGAACAAGACAACCAATAAAACAGTGTTTTGGAAAGCTTTGAAACTGACAGGACTAATATGCTCTGCTCACTTTTAAGAATCTTGCGTAATTCTGGTTTCTCCTCCAAACGGGTCTGAAGGTTGAGGAACTCGCTGTAGCGTCGGCTGACGGTGTGATAGGCCAAGGGCTGCAAAGATTCAGGATTCTCAGAGTCCATGGCTGTCTCATACTGCAAGACAAACACATCTTTGTCAAGCAATCATGTTATAATTACTTTTTGCAACACTTCGTCCTTTTGGTTACCATTACTAAAGCTTTACAGAATATCCTACAAGAATGAACTACAGAGTTTCATGAATAGCATGATTTTTCCATACAATGTGCTCATAAAGGGCTAGAATTTATTAAATATGACTCTTGTGAGGGCTGAAATAAAATGTGACATTGTGACATTTTTATCTACCATTTTACTTTAAAGAAACTGTTAAATTAGACAGAAACATGACTAAAAAGTGTAGAGACTAAAAATACAGTCAAGGCACTCCAGAGATGGACTGATATTATAATTCTGTTAGATATAATAATTACTTATGTCTGACTGAAAAATCTTTTGTCTAAACTCATAAAAAAATAAAACACTGAAATTGAAACTAAAATCAATAGTTTTTATTAAAATGACTTTTACAAATATTAAGTAAAATAATAAGTATGTATATTAAAATATTATTATATATTAAAATAATAATAATAATGTTAAAGCCAACATACAATAAGTGTACATGTACAATATTAAAAGTCTATACAGTATTGTGTAAATTAATACAAAATAAATACTACAAACTAAAATCAACTCATTTAAATGTTTCACATGAATTTAGGCAGCAAAACATTATAACATTATATTCTGAATATATTAGCATTAATAATAATATATTGATATTAATATGAAAAAGGTGTAAAATTTGCCAGAGATTATATTTAACAGTGAAATTAGTCATGTTTTAAAGATAAACTTTAACTGTGCGTTAGATGACGGCAAAGGGAATCTAAATGTAAAATTAGCAGAAACAAGTGTGAACTATTAAATATTAAATATCGGCCAATTCTGGAAAACTTCAACCACGATTTAACAAACTTGATAACTTAACTAACATGATTTAACAGAGAAAAGTGAGAACCAATTCACCTTTACGCTGTAGAGAGTGTAGGAATGTGAGCCAGAGCCTCGGTGCTCCTTAGCAGTGATGGTGCCAGTGATGCGGAGGTTCTGGATAATGACCGGACCCTCTGGGCTGCTGAGGGGCTCGAAGTTAAAAGGTGCCAGGGATGCCATCCCAGCTGGTGAAGAAGCCTGGACGGGTGCAGTCAAAGCCAGCTCACTGGGGTTCACCAGGCCTGGCTGGTCTGCACTCGAGTTACTCTTCTCCAGCGGCTGGACAGTGCAAAAGCTTGATGGCTCTTCCTCGGACACACCTGCGGAATGTACTGATAGCTCCTTCTCTGTCATATTGGTGTAAGTTGGAAGTTCATCCTCGAGGTCTAACACAGCGTCAACTGGAGTGGTGCATTCGGCAAGTCTTTCAGAAAGAGTCTCCTCTGAACCAATCAGAACCAGCGATTCTAGGGAGCTCTGCTTGAAATCCGTTAGAGGAGATTCCAAATCAGAGTCGGTTTCTTGATAGAACGGATTGGGTTTACCGAGTCTCAGATAATCCCTGGGGCTAAAACCCAACGGAAACGGTTTGGTCAACCGTGGTTCGTCTTCCTCCAGGTTGTGTGGAGAATAAAGATCAGCGGAGTCAATGACATCAGCAAGTTCTGGTGTTGGGGCCTCCATTGCTGTAGGGGTCTCTGGGGTGACTTTTAGGGCCAGAACGCAAGGAATTTCAAGCTCTTGCGGTGTGTTTTCTTGAGGAGATACAACTTGTGGTGGAGCTTGAACTTCTACTGGTTCTGGCTCTGGGGCTGGTTCGCTGGATTTAGAGAAGATGCTTACAATCAACATGTTTAGCCAGTCCGGGTCGGACAGTTTTGCAATTAAAGGCAGCAGAACGTTGCACATTATAAGTTCGCCCACCACAAATCGACCTGTGCGGGTTTCTAAATGTGGAGGAGGTACAAGAACATGGAGAAGCAGATCTACAATAGCCCGTACGTAATTCACCTCGACAGCAGAGCTCTGAAGAGCGGGATGAAGAGGGCAGAGTTTGCTGTACGCCTCCCAGAGATCTCCATCTTTGTCCACCCCTTGATGTTTATTGGCTTCCTTGGTACTCGAATAACACTGAATGTGGCATCCAGATAGGTCTAAAACCCTCTGAGATAAAGCTTTCCTATCAACTCTTGCCACTCGACCCTTCAGCTCCAATGCCATGGAGATCATGGCATTGTGCACCTCATTCTCAAACTCTTTTTCTTTGGAAATGGTGCTGTACCATGAGGTGACAAAGTCACGTATGATCTTGCCAACTGTCTTCTGGATCTCATCTTCCAGTTGTTGCTCGCTCTCGGCACTGTGCGGGATCTCCTCCAGCCTAAAAAAGCGCTCTAGGTGAACAACGCTGTCTGAGTCTAGGACAGCCTGGGAACCAAGCCAACCACCTAAGACCACTAAGAGGCTTGTGAAGACACACAGGAGCCAAATGTTGACCAGCAGGTGGAACAAGATTATCCAGGCCAGCAGCGCCCCAAAGCCAAGCAGCCTCCTCTGGACCAAAAACTCAGACAAGCCCCAGGGGCTCACGTTGAGATGCTCAGGGTGAGACATTGCAGAGGTTTATGTACTCCTGTGAAGGAAAACGGAGAGACAGACCAACCAAATAATTGTGGTTCCCATTGACTTCCATTGTATGGACATTTCTCAGATATCTTCATCCATTTTCCACCGAATAAAGCAAGTCATTAGGTTTTGGTAGAACACGAGGGATGACCATGGATCTATAATAGAGATATGTATCAGTGAGAATAACTGATTGTTAATTTTTGGGTGAACTGTCTCTTTAAGAATCGGATCATGAGAAACCAAATAGATGGACGAGTGTTTGAAGATTGTTTCTATACTGCATTAAAACTGTGGTAGCTTGACAGTAGCCACCACTGACATCAAAATAAGAAATTAAACAATTATATAAATGTTAAAATATAATATTGAATTAATATGGTTTTACACTAGAGTGCTTAATTTAGACTATGGTTACCATGACAATTGCTTTGTAAGGTCTGTCTAATGATCAGTGTGCAAATGTCAATTTGATATAAAATTCACTTGAATACTGTAATATTATGCATATTATTAAAACACACAAAAGACCAAGCTTAATAGAAAAGACTAGTTTGACTAATCTAGGCATCGTGACGCGCTGTATGTTTTGACGGGTATCAAGCTGGCGTTTCGTCTTCTCGGGTAAAATATTATTGAATTAAAATGAACTTACCTTAAATGCATATGTAATTAATGTAAGGTGCACATTTGGACCATAGCCAATTCATGTTTAAATGCCGACTCAAAAGGGCCTTGCAATGTTTTGACAGCTTCTTCCTCGTCGTCTCCGCCTCAGCTGATGAAGTGCATTCAGTGTCTGTCGCCCTCTAGAGGTCGCACTGATCCCTGCAGCGCTCTACTACAGCACAGACAACGTTCACTTTCACTGTATTTTTCCACACAATGAAAGTGAAAAGGAGACGGTCGTTCTGGCTCACATCTCCTTTTGTGTTCTACAGAAGAAAGTAAAACGTCTTTCTAAAAGCATGAGGGGGATGTGAGGGTGAGGTTTTTTTGTTTTGAAAAACGTCTCTTTTGCTCACCAAGGCTGCATTTATGTGAGCAAAAAATATAGTAAAACCTGTAATATTGTGAAATATTATTGCAATTTAATTTATGTTTTCTATTTGAATATATTTTTAGTATCTTCAGTGTCACATGATCCTTCAGAAATCATTCTAATTGCTATTTTTACTGCATTTTTTTAACTGTATGATCAAATAAATGCAGCCTTGGTGAGCATAAGGGACCTTTGTCTGTGTGTATATATATATATATATATATATATGTATGTGTGTGTGTGTGTGTGTGTGTGTGTGTGTGTAGACAGATGTATCATAGTTTCAACAAAAATACTAAGCAGCAAAATCTACTTTCAACAATGATAATAATAACCATTATTAATAACTGAGCACCAATAATAATTGAGCAAATCAGCAAATCAGCATATTACAATGATTTCTTAAGGATCATGTGACACTAAAGACTGGAGTAATGATTCTGAAAATGCAGCATTGCCATCACAGAAATACATTTTTAATATATTATAGAACATTGTAATATTTCACAATTATTTATTTTTATTTTTACTATATTTAGCTTGGAGTGCTTAATAGATTTAAGTGCTGAATAGATTTTAAAAAAAAAATTTATGATTTCAAACTTTTTCCACACTTGAGTGGGAAAAAAAAAATATAAAATGAAAAAGAAAATAAATAAATTATATATATATATATATATATATATATATACACACACACACACACACAGTGATGCCATGGAAGAACCATTCTTGGTTCCCAAAAGAGCCTTTCAGTGAACAGTTCCTAAAAGATCAATTTTAAAGAACCTTTTTCCAATATAAAGAACCTTTTCAAAAGCAGCCCCAGCTGCCTGTTCTTAGCATGGATGAATCATCCAGTGCCGTTAAAGCAACTGATGTTCAACATCTGTTTCCTCAGAGACAGACAGTTATTTCCGTTATGCTGTAAATTTTAGGGAACCCCCTGGAAAACAGATGAGACAACCATATTGTTTGTCATATGCAAATACCATTAATGTTCTCCCCAGATTGTACTTCCTCTAATAGACGTTCAAGATTTAAATACACATTTGTATGCAACCAAGAATTCCCCATCAGCCATCCACAGGATTCTTGAAGAAAGCATTCAAAGCAACAACATAGCTGTTGCTGAAAAAGCATAAATATGACTAGACATGGCCAGGGTGAATTCAGGTAAACTGGGCCACTATTCTTTCAGAACTCATTGATCCAGTCAGTCAATGCCATTTGGACTCAGTCCAGCCGGACAGTGACCTACAGTGCCGATAATTCTGATTGGCTCAGACAAGCTGCATATGCTAGCAAGAGCACAGACAGCATGTAGTGATGTAGTGATACATCCTTATAAACACAGGGCTATTAGACACAAATGTTACCACCAGATAAACCAGACGATTTTGAAGTGTGTCCTCTCTGCTGACTGGACACAAAAAGGATTTAGCATTATATTGCATCATAAACCAGTATTTGAGTGCTCCCTTATGGACAACTCATAGACGTGTCACACAAGAGCTGCATGCATCCTGAGGGAAAAATGTTTAAACATATCTGCATCTGCATGAGCGTTCGTATCCAAATGATTTATACCAGCTAAATATTAAGATCAGACATTATTCATCTGTATCTGAAAAGACAGAACCTAGTTGTACACATAAAATGTGTCGCAGAGAGCATCGGGAACATCTACACCAGTGGTTCTCAACCAAAGGGCCTCAAAATGACTCGAGTAAGACAAAACAAGCATTAAAATAAGCCAAACAAGCCATGGTTGTTCTTTGGAAAAATCAAGATTCCCACACGTCTTGGAAAATCTGGATATAGCCTAATTTTAAAAGTGTGATTTATAGACGTTGAAAAGTCACGAACTATTCAACTCCATGGGCACTTCATATTAAAAAATAAATGTTTTTAGTTAAGCCAAGCACTGAAGTATTTTATCAATTGTCAGTAAAAATACTTTTGAACTTGGAAAAAAGAACTAGAAAGGTCACGGGGCTTCAAATACTGTTGAGGACAATCGAGGGACCTTGGAGTTAAAAAAAAAAAAAAAAAGTTAACCACTGATCTACAAAACATTTTTATATAACCTTTTTGTCATACTTCACATAAACGTTGTTCATATTAGTCAAATCATTAGCCATCATGAACTAAAAAAAGACTTTTTTCATAAAATACTGTATACTATTGTTCATATTCACAATCGTTCATATGCATTTAACTAGTTAATGTCAATTTATTTTGTCAACTTTAAGATCTAAAATTTAACGCATCTATTAATCTAGGTTAAGGTACATTCATAATTTTTGAAACCTAATGCATTAACCAACGGTATCAAGTTTAACCTTATTGTAAAGTGTCAGTCTTTTCTGAATTATTTTTCCAATTAACTTCCAATTTGATTAAAAAGGCATAAGACTGAAAATGCGATCATTGCACATTCATATATTTTCTTATACCATTCTAAAATTTGGCATCTGTAAGATTTTTTTTTTTTAAGAAATGAATACTTGTATTCAGCAAAGACACATTAAATTGATCAAAAGTGATAGCAAAGACATTTAGAATGATAAAGATTTGTTTCAAATAAATGTTCTATTCAAGTCGTATTTGTATCATTGTTCGTTCTCAACGTTGATAAGAATATCAGCATATTAGAACGATCATGTGACACTGAAGACTGAAGTAATGACGCTGAAAATTTCACAATCACAGGAATAAATTACATAAAATATTCAAATAGAAAACAGTAATAATATTCCACAATGTTACTGTTTTTCTGTTTACTCTATTTTTGATCAAATAAATGAAGCCTTTGGTGCTTTTCCACTGCATGGTACGGCACGGTACGGCTCACTTTTGGGGGGTTTTCCACTGGGTACAGTACCTGGTACCTGGTACTTTTTTTAGTACCACCTCGGTTGGGGTTCCAAGCGTACCGTACCGTTACCAAAACGTGATGTGTAAACTCTGCTGATCACGGATTGGCCGGAGAAAATCATCCCTACTGAACTTGCGACACAAACACAAAAGAACCGCTAGATTTAAATCAGCACAGCCAGCGAAGGATCGAACGCAACTGTTTTGAACGAGCACACCTTTTTTTAACAACCAAAAAGTGGCTGTTCCCCCTGTTGAGGAAGTACAGACGTTCCTCTCGTTGATAGCAGAGGATTGATGGGGCGACGCAGAATGAAAAAGTTTTTTTTAGGAGTCGCGGCAGTAGAGGCAGCGCAACTATAACGACATGTGAATAATCCCGCCCATTCTAAAGCGATACTAAACTGCAGTGGAAACGCAAACCAAGCCGAACCGTGCCGTACCGTACTGAGCCGAGTCGTACCACGCAGTGGAAAAGCGCCACTTGATTAGCCTAAGAAATGTCTTTAAAAACATTTAAAAACTATACCAACCCCAAACGTTTGAATGGTAGCGTTTTGTATGAATGCATGATTTTCTAATGCACATCCTTTTGTGAAATCACAAACTCTCCAACTTAATTTGAAAACCCAGCACATAATAAAGTTTCAAAAGTCACTGTATTTGTTTTTATTGAGGCTCGTGTATTTATCCATCATCTATACAGCACTGTGGGATACACTCATTTAAAAATGTGTAAGACTTAAGTCAGGTTGCGAACCTCCACTGAGTGAAACTCCCACAAACGCATCTCATTCTGCAATCCACAATGATTTGTACAATTGTTTAACAGCTGGAAAGCGATTCAGCTTCCCTCGGAAATACTGTAAAAACTCAAAGCATCCCACTGGAAGAAATTCCTCAAAATCACTTGATCATCTTGCAGGGATCATCAACTCATCTGCACATTTGCAAATAGTGTCTTTTTTATCTTTCTTTGTTCATTTGATGTTCCTTTTATGGTAAAATCACGTAAAAAAAGTTGATAATCCAAAAAAAGGCCCGATCCTGATAATCCATTTGATATGTAATGACAGAAATCATCTAAGACTGCGCTCTGAGGTTTTGGGATGTGAGGAACTGTAGCAGTTTCTCAAACTCGGTGAAAGACACATGCTTATCAGATGTGAAGGACAGTATATAGCGGATGGTAGTGAAGGTGGGGACCTTTCTTCTCCCCAAGTGTCCATATAAAAGAAATAGAGAAAGCAAAGGAAAACTCTAAGTTGGACTATTGGTCAAAGGTTCATTCGTAGATGCTCTGGCCTTTTGGAGATCACGGGGTAGGCCTGCTGCTTAAACTGACCCACGTTGGAGCCAGCGGGTTGCCTGATGGGAAGAGGGGCGGTGGCCTCGGAACTAGCCTGGACCTCCATCTGATCCATGGTGGACACTTCCATAGCGAGCTCTGTGGGGGACTGGAGGGTGGAGGATCCGGGCAAAGTGGGACCTCGTGGCCAACAATCTCCTGAGAACTTAACCGGGCTGAAAGATATGAGACAAATGGTTTTTAATTTTATTTTTATAAAAATTTGTGACATTACAAGTCAAAAACTGTGATTACCTGACAGGCGTGCGAGGGCTTCCCAAAAACCGGCGAGGTGAACGAATTTTTGGCTCAAATGAGAACTTTTCCTTTATATTATCCAATACAGATGGAGCTACATAGGTAAAACCCTGCAAGAATTAGAAGAAAGGATAAAGGAAAGCTCCCAACATTTCTCTAAACAGATAAGAAGGACGGTGAAATCATGACTTGGCTGCCTTACCAAAAAGACCTGATTTGCACTTTCACTCAGTGTGGAGTCATCAGGACTGTCAACGGGAGTCTGGCTGGTGAACTTTGAATCAAACTGGCTCACATCGTCAGCAGATTGCTGTCGAAATTAGACATCGGGTCAAGCGATTCATATATACTCAATTAACCCATAAGAACACACCACAAAAAGTGACTATAGTTACCAAGAAAGGCTTGAATGGTGGTTCTACTTTACGCGCGAGAAGGTCGTCCCAATTAACGTGTCGGAAGAAGGGATGAGTCTAGAAGACAAATCCAAGCTAATTAAAACTAAAGCCCAGCACTTCTTTCTGAATTCTGGTTAAACAATAAAACCACCAGAAAATCAATAGTGAAAGACAATCTTCACCCTATAAAGCCTATTTTTCATTTGATACACACGTTTTTAAGGTCTGGAAATTATCAATAGGATAAAAACTGCCTGAAAAACCTGTTGCACACAATCTACTACATGCCTTCTTCCATCTGATTGATAATTTATGCTTTTTTAACAAGTAAAAGATATTCAAGTATAACTCTTTCTTTACAGGTCATGGGATGCATGTCTTTATGCTTTGAAATCTTTACTGATTTTTAACAGTAAATATAAGAATAGCTTATATATTCTTAGCAATACTTCAAGATGAACTTGGGTTTACAGCAACTGCAATATTTTTTTGACTATTATTTCATGTCAGGCTTTACAGGGTTAAGATGTTGACATTAACATTAATGTTGATGTTGATGAAAACAGACCTGTACTTCTGTTGCATCTCCAGGTCCAGCCCCAAGCCGAGATGAGGCATTTCTTTTCAGTAGCTGAACACAGTAAAATTATTATTACAAAATGACAGAAAAACACTTAATAAAACAAATTACACAACACACAATAAGTGTATTACTGGGAAAAATCAAATAGGTGTACACCTACCCTTTTGAGAAGGTCCCTGGCTTCTTGTGTGAGGTAGGGTGGGAGGTTCAGTTTGCATTTAAGAATTTTGTCAATGGTTTTTTTCCGGTTCTCTCCTGTAAATGGGGGCTAGAATGGACAAAAATGAAAAAAACACTTGACTAGATCAAGAAATTGACTAGATCAAGGGTTAACAAACTTTCTGATGCTAAGAACAACAAATACAGTAATACCATTGTGAGAGACCTTTCTGACAAATATAAAGTTAACTGTATTTTATTATGGCTAAAATTCTGTTAAGTGCAATAGTTTTTAGGGATGCACCGAATGTTCGGCAACCGAAATTATCGGCCAAATAAGCGAAAAGACAGAATAAATTGTACCGAACAATGATGTGACACGAACAAATAGAGGCGCGCGCTAATGCAGCAAACATGACAGCAGTGTGGAAACATTTAAAGCTGTCAGATACGCAAAAATCATTACAAGCACCGACAGCGAGAGACTGTCTTCGCATGTCTTTGATGAGAAGAGGAAGGGTGGATGTTGCTGGTTACTGTATGATGATTGAAATCGCGAAATGCCCTTAAACAATTAAATAAACTTCAGAATGTTATGTTTTCTAATGCACGCTAGGTCTATCACGATAACAACTTTTTGCTGTGAGATATATTGCACCAGAAATAATTGCGATAAGCGATATTATTGTCATTTAAAGACCATCAATACTTCAAGATGAACTTGGGTTTACAGCAACTGCAATATTTTTTTGACTATTATTTCATGTCAGGCTTTACAGGGTTAAGATGTTGACATTAACATTAATGTTGATGTTGATGAAAACAGACCTGTACTTCTGTTGCATCTCCAGGTCCAGCCCCAAGCCGAGATGAGGCATTTCTTTTCAGTAGCTGAACACAGTAAAATTATTATTACAAAATGACAGAAAAACACTTAATAAAACAAATTACACAACACACAATAAGTGTATTACTGGGAAAAATCAAATAGGTGTACACCTACCCTTTTGAGAAGGTCCCTGGCTTCTTGTGTGAGGTAGGGTGGGAGGTTCAGTTTGCATTTAAGAATTTTGTCAATGGTTTTTTTCCGGTTCTCTCCTGTAAATGGGGGCTAGAATGGACAAAAATGAAAAAAACACTTGACTAGATCAAGAAATTGACTAGATCAAGGGTTAACAAACTTTCTGATGCTAAGAACAACAAATACAGTAATACCATTGTGAGAGACCTTTCTGACAAATATAAAGTTAACTGTATTTTATTATGGCTAAAATTCTGTTAAGTGCAATAGTTTTTAGGGATGCACCGAATGTTCGGCAACCGAAATTATCGGCCAAATAAGCGAAAAGACAGAATAAATTGTACCGAACAATGATGTGACACGAACAAATAGAGGCGCGCGCTAATGCAGCAAACATGACAGCAGTGTGGAAACATTTAAAGCTGTCAGATACGCAAAAATCATTACAAGCACCGACAGCGAGAGACTGTCTTCGCATGTCTTTGATGAGAAGAGGAAGGGTGGATGTTGCTGGTTACTGTATGATGATTGAAATCGCGAAATGCCCTTAAACAATTAAATAAACTTCAGAATGTTATGTTTTCTAATGCACGCTAGGTCTATCACGATAACAACTTTTTGCTGTGAGATATATTGCACCAGAAATAATTGCGATAAGCGATATTATTGTCATTTAAAGACCATTTTATGCCACTGAATATATAATCATAATGTAACAGCATAATAATGCAAGAAGGCCTACACACTTCCAAATGACAACAAACTTGTAATTTTTAAGAATATTTAGATCATGGAAATTAAGTATCAAAATATTAAATACCTTAAAAAACCTGAATAAATAGTAAATAAACATTTTCTAACAAAAAGTGCAAAGTAGAAAATTGCGAAAATTGGAGATTTTTCCACCTACAGATTTTTCCCTGACCTTCTTTTCTCTGTAAATTAAGGGTGCACACTATTGCTGAAAAACACAATCACTACTCAACAGTCAGATGTCCGTATGCACGAAGACACAGATCCCTAAACAAGACCATATCTGCAGATTAAACTTTTTAAATTTGAACTAGCACCTCATACACCACGTTATGTACGAGAAGCTGCAAAAGACACAGGCTAAAGTGGAATGTACAAAACATGGTTACATACATTTTTAAGTAAATATAACGGCCAATATATTGCATCACCAAAAATTGAGACAGCTCTATTAATACTTTTATTGTAACATTTACACAGTGTTCAGACTGGGATCTGTAATATTTTCTAATGTTTTAAAATAAGTCTCTTCTGCTCAGCAAGGCTGCATTTATTTGTACAGGTAAAAAAAAAAATGCATGACTGATTCAAGAAGGGGGTCTAAAAAAATGGCCCAAAAAAATATTATTTTACTAACTTATTAATTTTAAGTTAAGTTGTGCTTTATTTGGTATAATATCTGCTAGAATGTTAAAAAAAATGTGCAGTGTTAAGTAAATATTTTTAAATTGTGGTTTTGTAAATTGTTTTTCTTTGAAAAGCAAGGCAAAACAGTAAAAAGCACATTTTGGATATTTAATTTATGCAATGGTGGAAAAAAATGGGCAAAATGGGGGAAAAAACGTGAAAAACCGTGTTTGGTATTCGGCCTAGTGTTTCATTTTGTTCGACTTCGGCCAAGAATTTTCATTTCGGTGCATCCCTAATAGTTTTGTGACAATTATTAATTTCAAAATTAAACTGGCTTATACATTGTCATTACACTAAAATAATTGTATTAAAAAAAATTAATTGTTGACAGTGAATGAAAATTAACTGAAGAAATTTATTTAGAAAAAAAAATTCGGACAAACTTAAAAACAAAAACAATTTATGTCTTGACCTGTCTTTAAGAAATCAGAATTAAATTCTATTACATTTAGGGAATATGAATATAACAAGTTCAGTAACTGGTTGTTGACATTAATTCTGAAACACAAATACATAAATTCCAGAATAGTAAAACTTCACATCATCTCTCAAACATCACACTGCAAATTTACCATTTCAGCCACGAAATGAAAAAAAAGTGTTTCAAACACAGTAAACAAATGCTTTTTTTTTTTTTTTATGCATTGCACAATTTAGTTTATTATGCATTTCATAAAATGTTTAAATAAATTCCCTCTATGCAAAAAATTAAACAACACAGAAGGAATGCCTCTAAAAGGGCAGAATGTATTCCTTAGCAACTCGGCAGCAACAGGAGGACAGCAGAAAGAATGAGTAGTTATCCATCTCTGAGACAAAGGTTGTTCTTGATTCACGAACCACTTAGGTATTCAAGGATGAGGTAAAGCTTGCCGCCCGTCTGAAAGGCATAGATTAGATCAACGATGAAAGGATGCTTGACTTCCTCTAAGATGTTCCTCTCTGCTTTAGTATGCGCTGTGTCCTTGGCGTTGCGTACAATCATAGCCTACAAGCAGCAGAATAGAGTGATATTGAGACATTGCCACGAATGTAAATGAATGCATTCAAATTTAAGGAATTTGCTTAACCTTTTTTAAAACTTTCATTGCAAATATTTTTCCTGATCCTGCACCAGATACTTTCCGAACCTGGAAAACCTACAAAAAAAAAAAATAAAAAAAGAAAGGAAAAAGAAAAAGTTACATTCAAGCCCAGACATGTTTAAATGGAATACGCCACAATGTTATTTTTAGTAATATGTAGTTTTTGTTATTTTTAAATATTACTATTAAGGTTTAATTCATTTTATTTTGAAATAAAAATAAATGAAACCTAAATAGTAACATTGATCTAAATAGTTTTATAGTTAGTCATTTCAATGCTTCTACTTGATGCATTTCTATCGGAGTGTTTCTACTTATATATCATATTATATTTTATTTATAGTGTATTTCAATCCACAAACATTTTTTAATAGTTTTAGTTTACGATAGTAACCCCACTGCTCCATATATTTGATATTGTATATTATTATTATACCCATTGATATTAGAACTTCTCCAATGCTGTTTAAAAGTCATATTTGTGCTCTTTAGTCTTTTAACATTTTAAGTTTATGTAATGCTCTGTAATGTTGTGTATATAACAATAATTGTGTTCAGCACAATGTTAAGCACTTTGGGGGTACAGTATAGTATGAAAAGTGCTTAAAAATAAATAAATAAAATGAAAATATTAGAATTAAATCAATTTAAAAAATACCTTTCCATAACCTCCTTTTCCCAACACACGGAGAAGCTCAAAGCACTCTGGACGGATGTTCTCAGTGCCTTGGTTCACATTGTCCTCTGATATCTCAATCTTCTCACAGTCGTCCATGTTACTATAAGAATAAACCAGAAATAAAGCAATAATGCGCATTATTCCTCTCATCTGCATTAGAATATTGTTGCGCTGCTTATTTTTTTCTAGAATCCGTCTAGGACACATTATTTTAATCATTAAAAATAAAATCTGATTTTTTTTTTATTTTATTGCAACCACTACACATACTCACAACTCAAAGCCACTGCACTGATCCATGAGGTCATTGATCTGAGCCTGCAGAAGAGAAGTGTGAAATGCATAATCAATAAAGGCTCAATTCCCTGCAACAGTGAACAGCGTTATGTTGGGTGGAGAGATGATCAGTGCACGAGCAGATAACGTTACGAGGCAACAGTTGGCAGCACTTCTAGTCTGAACATGAAAACGTAAGGGGTCGGATTTCGCAATACTATTCCCAGAGATCCCATAAGGTGACATGCACCATCTATGGTCTTGCAACTCCTAATTGACTGATCCTCGTAAAAAAATTTAAAAATGCATATTAGCTTAGTCAATAAATTATTTTAAGCAATATGCATGCAAAATGTGTATATCGAAGGCATGCTGCATTGCAAGTTTCGATGTGAAAGGACACGCATACATCCAGCCCTTTAAATTTTCATAACTGTACTGTACTGTACTGTACTGTCAAGTAGTAAGCTCACATACAACCCTATTATCTCCAGCCTTGTATCATTGCCTACTGCATATAAACCATATTTCAGCATGTACAATTCAAATATCTCTGACACACGTGCTGACAGACAGAATACCAGTCATTCAGTAACGTAAATAAAACACACTGTAGGGTAATCGTGTTAGCCTGTTAGCATAACATAAAGCAGTTCCTCGGGCCTCAGGCCTGCACTGTGCTCGGGGTGGTACACTCCAGCGTGCCGTTTACTTCAAAACAGCGACCGTCCCTTACCTCCTCCAGCTCATCATCGGAGACATTTTCCTCCGGCTGGTCCAGATCGATGTCGAAAACGCCAGCCATCGTTGATTTCGCTGTCTGGGATCACTTCAAACCGCGTGAGGAGCTCGCGCTTCCCGCCTCATGGACATGCACGCACCGTCGCCATGAGTCCGGCATGACGCGATCTGACACCCCCGCGCGGAGGAATGCGGGAAATACTCGCGCTGGACTTTAAACTGTTTTCATGCGTGTAACTGTCAAAGAAAGTGTATCAGAATACAAAAGCGATAAATAAGTATATAAATAATATTGTAATATTATTTATATCGTGTAAATATGTTTTTTTATATATATATTTTTTATTTCTGTTTTTTGTATTGTTTTATATGTTAAATAAATGTGTATATATATATTTTACAATTTACATAGTACATATATATCTCATTTACATATAGTATAGTACACGTTGTATGTAAAGAAGAATAATCCAAATCATATCAGAACACAAAACAAACAAATGACAATAAATTCATAAAAATAAAAAGGAATTCTAAATGTTTTATATTGTGCTGTATCATAGAACTTGAAAATGATTTTGGTTGTATCAATTTAGGCTCTTTTTTTAAACAGCGCACATCGGTTAAAGGGGTCATATGATGCTATTTTAAAGATCATTATTTTGTGTATTTGGTGTAACATGCTTTAATGTTCAAAAAACACATTCTTTCATTGTCATAGCAAAGTCAGAATGACCTCCTCTCCTAGGTTCACGAAACGGTCATCCATAAAATGCATTGCTATTCTGTTGTAAGTAATCTTAAAGATTCCTAAATGCATCTACTTCTGGAAGGCCAAATAAAGTGCTTTTGCTTTCGCCTAGAAACACACAGAGTCTCCCTGACATGCTGCTTCAACACTAACTGCGGTTACTGAAACCACGCCTTCTTTCTTTGCGTGCACATTTGGGCGGCATTATGCTAATATTTCCACATAGTGAGGTAGATATGTGGGGGCGTGTTAGAACGAGCCGTTTTAGGGGGGCGTGGCAGAGTCTTAACTTTGATAAAGAATATCTCTTTGGTTTTGAGACTTTAGTCTTTGCAGCTTCAGGGATCTTATCTATGCACAATCAGCTTGTAACACTCCAAAGAGAAAGGAAAACTTGAAATCGCATCATATGACCCCTTTAAATAATCCCAACGAATAGAACACGCTTTCTTTGTGCACGTGAAGGAAATCCATTTTTATCAATGTTTTGATTGATTGATTGATTGATTGATATTCCCCAAAATCAATCATTCTATCAGCCAATTTCCCCCCCCCCCCATTTCTTCAAATTTAAATACA